ACATAGCCAACAGGAGCCATAGTGACCATGGTGGGGCACCCAGCCCTGTATTGTTGGGAGGAAAGAGCTACTTGGGTTACCTGTGTGTGAGGATGGGCTCCCAGGGAAAAGCGAAATTCATTACTAGAAACTATTCCAGTGGAAAATTGAAGAAAAAGGATAAAAAGAGACAAAAGGAAGAACACATCCAACACTAGCTATGGATGCAAGCCTGAACCTTCCTTGAAGTACAGCGGTCATCTCATGCCCACAGATGAGCACAGGAAAGAAATGGGCACCGTACAGGTGGCAGAAACAGAGCGGGAAGCGGGAGCGCTGTCCTTGAGCTATCAGAGCTGCCTTTGCCTGTGGGCACGGAGGGTCAGCAGAGCTTAGAAACTGTGTATTTCCTGGCTAGGCTTTATTGATTTCTTTCCCAAAGCATGTAAATAATTCTCTCGTCTCTGGGCCAGCTGCCGTCTTCCCAGCTCCTGCAAGGCCCTTGGGGGAGACGCATGACACTGCCCTCCCAATTGTGTTCCTTCTGCTCCTCATTTGACCTCCCCACGCCATCAGTCCTTCCAGGGAAGAGTCTCCAATAAAACACTTTAACACGAATCTTGGTCTCTGCAACTACTTCTGGTGAACTTCATCTAAACTTTCTTTTTGCTAGTCTGTAGGTAAAACTGTACAAAGGCTAGAAAACATTCCAGGGATAATCAAAGACTATACTGGATGTTCAAATTTTAAAACATTATCACAGTAAAAGACATAGAGGCATTAATCCCCATCAGACTCCCCTTTTCCTCAAAGGATTTACCATCGTTTTTTGTCACTGGTGACAATCTTCTTTCGAGAGTATATGCATTTATTTGCACTATCATGGCCATCTGGATGTCCTGAATCAGTTCAAAATGCTCACCTTTCATGGTTATTTTGACTTGGAGGACCAGCTATTGGTTATTTTGACTTGGTAAAGCACCAAATGCAGTCCATAAGGTAGGTGAGGATATAAGAGAATATTTTTATGAGCTTACTTTTCCATTGCATGGTACTTGGTAATAGTATTCACTACATTTTTTAAAATCATACTTTGTAAAGATAGTCACAAGAGAGGGCTTCCAGAATTGCATAAGAAAGTGGCAAAAAGTGCATTTGAAGCTGTGAGAATATTTCACAGGTGATGAAGGGCGATGTGTCTTTTACTGTGATACATTTTTAAAAGTTAAATATTCACTGTGTATTTTGATCACATCTCATAATAGCAACAGAAGTTAAGAAATGAAAAAGAAAATCAAAATTTTTTCTTAAAAATCAGTTTTCTAAAAGTTGAAAATATGAGCCATGTTTCTTTGGGCTGCCTGCTCTGGCCTGGTAGTTAACAGAGTGAAAAAATGGTATTTTCCATCAAGGTATGAAATACATTAGATATCCTGCTAAGCATCAAAATATTCGCAATACTCGAGTACCCGGTATAATATTGATTATAGGTAGTTAGCGAGAGGTCAGCAATAAAGGGGTAGGAAATGATTAGCACTGCTCAGCTGCCAGAGGTTCCTGACTCTGGCCCTCCTCCTTCTATGAGACTTGGGAAAAAAGAACAGAACTCTTTTCATTTATTCATAAAATTTTCCATCTAAGGTGGGTGAGTTGATTCAAGGCTGAACAAAGGGAGAAGTTTGTTATCTTTCTTACGAGGGTACCAGTACTCAGGGAAGTCAGACTCCAGCTTTATAACAAGAAACCCGGATCACGACTCCGAGATCAGGAGTTTTGTGTATTTTCGTGACTGATTCTGGTAACTGCTGGGTGAGTAATTTTTGCTAGAAAATACCATGCCAGTCATGCTGGAACCAGCTTTGTTACATCAGACAATTATAGTGTGTCAGTCTGTAGTTCCTGCAAAGACAGGGTCTAAGGTAATGACAACAATTTTTCTCTTCATTTTAAATTAAAGAAAATCTGAGAATCAGTGGGGAAGAGAGAAAGGAAATCATAAATACAATACAATTTATTTCGAATTATCTATCCCAGCAAGAAAATATTCTGCTTTCTTGAAAAAAATTCTAAACAATTTGGAACCCAGAACTAATAAAAATACTTTTAGTAACTTGATATACTAATTTGGCACAATATTATTTAAATTGTATACACATTCTCAAATTCATTGCTTTTTCCCTTACCAGCTATTCAACAGCAGAGAGGTAAACTGTGGACTTTATACATGGTTTTATCAAGTATATTTTCCAGCCTAAATTATGACCATTTGTAATTAGTTCACAAGATAAATTAGTTCTAAAGTAAATCTTATTAAGGAGATAAATTAAATTAAGGTCAAAAGTTTATTTTTATGGCCAGAACATATCACCTTACTTTAAAAATTTTTATCTTTATTGATGTATAAATTGCACGGAGTGAAATGCATAGATGTTGTTTGCAGTGTGATAAGTTTTAATCAGTACATATGTTCATCTAACCTTGCCAAAAGCATGATCAGAACGTTCTCTGCTTTGTCAGCTACCTTGTACTCTTCCCCAGCCAACTCCTGGCCTTCCAGAGTCAGGCACCCCTGATTTCTACCACTTATTCTCAGCCTCTGTATAAATGACATCAGCCCATATGATTCCTTTCATTTAGTGCAATGCTATTGAGATTCACTCATATTTCTGTGTGTCTAATTAATTCATCTTTATTGTTCAGCAGTGATGGTCAAGTGCGTAGATGTGCTAGACTTTGTTTTCACTTATTAGTGGACATTTTGGTTGTTTCTAGTTCTTGAGCTATTATGAATAAGCTTGCTATGAACATGTTCATACAATTTGGCAGGGGGGACATGTTTTAATTTCTCAGATAACATTAGAAATGGCAATTTGGGCCACAGGTAGGCATAGATTTAAGGTTATAAGAAACTTCGTTAACACTTTACCTCATCTGTACCTGCAGTTTCTCACGTCCCTCATCCATAATTGTTATTATCAGTTTTCCCAATGTTATCTAGAGAATGGGTTGGTATAGTGTAAAGTAAGAAAACATACTCAAATCTTAATTACCGTCCACTCCAGCTCATAGCTTATTCTTATGGCTTTGTAGACTATTCTGACATCATTTTATTTACACTAATTATTGAATTTTTGCAATAGACCAGGAAATACATTGTTAAACATTTTTGTAAACTTCCATTGTTCTATATTGTTTCTATCTCTTTCTTTGTTCACACTGAAATAGAAATATTATTAGATTGTCTTACTGAACACAAATTCTCATGCTAGCACTTTACCTCAAAACGAGACAAAAATGCTTCAGTGGAAGAAATTGATTTTCAAGTGGCATCAATACATAAATCATAACTTTTTATTCATATTAGCACCTCAAGAATTATGATTGGGAAAATGGCTCATGAAATAATTCTCAATGAGCTAGCTTTTATGCAATCAGATTTTCTCCTCTTTAATAGGTGGCTCTGAGGAAAAACAAGTGATTTTTAATCTTTCACATATCACAAAAATCAATAAAGCAGATGTCTCTGACCCCAGCAGACATGATGCCCCTATCAACAAGCAAGGAATTAATTCTACAAATGCCATCACGGGGTTGTCCTCTACTTCAGTTCTGATTGAATCTGTCTGTAAGTGACAGACTGAAGGTTCAGTGCCCAAGACTGTCTGCTATAACTGACAATGCCAATCACAAGCCTCACGTTGTTTTGCCTGTAATTCTGACTCACCAGTTAGAAATCAAGGTGTACTTTGAAGAATATAGATGATTCACAGATGTATAATGCAAGATACAGGGCAAGGGTTATAGAGCCTCTATTCCATCTCTGGGCATGCCAGCGTCCACATGTTCAGCTGTGTGGAAGCTCTCTGAACCCTGTCTTTTGGGGTTTCACGTAAACTTCATTTCAGGGGTATAATTTAGCCACAGACAACTATGTAGAAATGCAATTAGACAAAAGGCCTGGTCTAATGCTAATAGATGGAGGAGGGAATTCCAGAAAGGCTTATCTGTTCAGGCTCCTCTTGACCCCTCTGTGCAGCCTTCCTTCTATCCAATAATGGGATTAGACTCTGTATAAAGGGGCGGGGGGTCTTATGATCTGCTACCAGACAAGGTAAGTCAGAGGATTTCATCACAATCAACTCCAAAACAGAAAGATAGGAGAAGATAGAGTTTCTGTGATACAGTTGGGGAAGAGAAGTTCCAGTTTCTAAGGCCTGCCTTGGGAAGAAAGCTATGGGATATAGGTAGATACATAGATAGATAGATAAGTAGATAGATGATAGATAGATAGATAGATAGATAGAGTATACAATCAATAAAGATTTTCCTAATAACCTGAACAAGTAAATAAATGAATATTTTTCTTTTCTTCTTTGCTTTGCATTGTGTGATCATTCTTCCTTTCTACAGACTGAAAATTAGGGTTAGCTTCTAGATATACTTTACCACGAAGAAAGAAAAGCCTAAAAGTGTGTTGTATATGCAAAGAGTATTTCATAAATTCTTGTTGAAAAGAGTTGAGTTCTACTCCTCACAACAAACAGTAGGTTTCTCAGGCAAAAGATTGATAATGATCTATCAGACAAGCGTTGGTCAGCATGCTTGAATGTGGGTACAGCTAGGTTGGAGCTTCTGCCATTTGGTAGATGAACAGTGTTTGTGATCTCCCACTGGATAGCAGATATACCCTTTGGCATAGAGGGCAATGGACCTCACTTCAGCTTGTGGGTGGATCACGTTTGTTAAATCCAACCTCACTCTCCTTGCTAGAGTGATAGGCACTTGGTTTGAATCTACATCAGTCAATATTTGGCATTTCCCCATTGTAAGAAATAATTCAGAAACTTGTGGTGAAATTATCAGTTATGACACATGAAAAGATCATTTTTGCCAGCTTGTAGGAAAACAGCTTTTGTGTGAGAGCTCCTAAAATGTAACTGTTTCTTTCTCTCCCTCTCTCTCTCTCTCTCTCTCTCTCTCCTCTCTCTTTCTCTCTCCATCTCTGTCTCTCTCTCTCTCAGTGTAGAACTCAGGAAAATGGAGCCAACAAAGGACAGACTGGAAGTAAGTTGAGACCTTGATGCCACTACTCAGTCAGAATCAAACCAGCTCTAAAGCCTGTGTAACCTCTGGACTCTGCTTCAGTGAGTATTGCTATCCCATGTATTAAGGCACTTTGATTTCAAGCTAAGAATATTTGCCACATAATTCAGAAACTACTATAGAAACCAAGGTTGCACTCTATCTTTAGGGCTGATTCTGGGCCAACCTATAAAGCCAGTTAAATTTGTTTCTAGGGTCATCCAAAACATTTCTCTTCTTTTTTGGCTCCTTACTGAAACCTTTCTTTCCCCTCTATTCTATCATTGGTCCAATTCTGCTCTCATCACGTTAATCTATATTTTCTTCTTCCTACTATTCGTTTTTTAAAAATACAAACTATAGGGCTGGAGATTTAGCTCAGCGGCATAAGCGCTTGCCTTGCAAGCAGGCAGTCGTGAGTTCGATCCCCAGTACCTACAAAAAGGAAAAAAAAATACAAACTATACCTTTTCAGTATCCTCTCAGTTTATAAAAAGAGAATCCTGATGTACACTAAGATTTTGGTCGCTGATGCATTAAGGAACACAGCAATAACACAACCAGTGATCTTGACAATGGAAAAACAACACTGGTAGCACATATGTGCACAGTGATGTTCTTGAAGCCTTTTACATCACATTGTAAAATAGTCGCCGTTTACACGTCCACAGTTGATCTATCTACTACTCCACGCCCCTAATGTTTCTCTTAGGCTTGTGGTGGTGCAGCTTCTGGAATAAGGCCATGGCGTCTCCAACCTACCGAGATCATGGTAACTATAAATAACAAAGAAAGTGAACCACTGGAAGGCATCCTATCATGAAATATTCACAAGCTAGAGACTAACTAGTCATCAGTCCATCAGTCTCTGCCCTTTAGAAGTTGTTGGGATCAGAGGTGGGTGTACTAAAGAAATGAGATAAAAACAGATAACTGTATCACTCAATTCTTGTGTATCAACTGCCCAGTCCTTTTTGGAAAGTCCTGATACATTAAATAGAATGGCCATGAGTTGGAGTTCTCAGCTCTCTGAAATGTCCCTGACTGTCATATTTTGACTTTTCTAGAAGTATTGCCTCCCCCACTGCTTAGAGTCAAATTTCTTGGTTAACCGTTGTTAGATTTTTATTTTCTAGGAATGGACATTTTCCCCCAGAGAAATATACACAGTGTAATGGATCATTTGAGTCTCTGAAGCCTGCCTATATTCTGAAGGCATGAATCCCATTTCTTAGGGAGTCTAGGGTATAGTCATCCATTTCTCCTCACTGAGCATCCTAGGTAGACCACATCCTCTCAGTTCTACCTACATAGTTCAATTACATTCCCATATCCTACCACGTAAACTCCCAGTGGTGTTTTTTCTACATCAAGTATACACACCAGGGACATCAAGTTTCAGTCTGCTTTCATTGGCATCTAACATATGACTGTCTCCAGGAAGAAGTCTTTTTTCCTGTGCCGTGTCCTTTGCACAGACTATGCAAAGCTATGATTATGCAGATATGACTAAGACCACGTATCTTTGACACAGAATTGTCAGGTTCCCCTCTTAATTGGGAAACTTATGCTACACATTTTTGTTTTGTTTGCCTTTTGGTTTTGAGACAGGGTCTCTTTATGTAATTTAGGCTGCCCTTAAACACTCTATGTAGCCCAGGCTGGCCTCAAATTTGAGCCAGTCCCCCTGCCTCAGTCTCCCGAGTGCTGGGGTGACAGGTGTGCACCACCACACTTGGCTTCTCTTGATACACTTGAATCCTGGTTTCCACCCTGACTGTCCTTTCTTAAACACGCACAAGCAAACAACATGAGCAGTGGGAACTGTGGTTTACCACAGACTCATGCAGAAAGCAGCAGAAGCACCTGCAGGATGCTGCAGGGTCTGTTTGATAATGGAAAACCCAGGTCCTGGCAAAAAGATGATATATTTGGAGAAAAAAGCATCACATGACCAAAGTTCCTTTTCTAAGAAGAGAACATTCAGATGTTTACATACCAGAGAAGTCATGATGTTTTCAAAAGACTGAAGAAGCCCTTTATTATTTCCTGGCCTTCACAATCAAAAAGCCATAGGAAAGCTCAGGAAACATTAGAGCAGGTCCGAATCAAACGGAAATGAGACTCTTCAGCAAGGAAACAAGGGCTATTTTTATCTTCAATTTTACTCATTTTATACTGAGTGGAAAATGGGAAAAGTATCTATTTAATTCTCATTAATAATGACCTTTATCTGTAGATGAGCTAAACATGGCTCTATATCATTGCAAACAGACCATATGACATCTCCCAAGAAGTTCTGGTATGTAAACTTACTTGAGCAAACAATCCTCTCATCTTTCCTTCTGTTCCTTCCTTCTTTTCTTTCTTCCTTTTTTCTTTTTTCTCTTTCTTCTTCTGTCCTTGCACCCTCACCCAATAACCTCCAAACGGCACAGTAAGACCTACAAGGACTCTACCAAAATTCAATCAAATTCATCAAATATTCATGTAGATGCAAGTCTGGTTCTCACAAAAGGAGAATCAAAGGGACATTTGCCTTTAAGCTTATAGTTTCAGAAAAATAAGTAAATAATCAATCAATAAATAACCAGATGAATTGCCACCAACTTAAGTACGAAGGTAACAAAAAATAAAGCAGCTTTAGTGGTCTGGATACTCAAAGACGCAGGATCTTCATGCAGGCTTTAAAGGATGAAGGGGCTATGGGCCAGTGGGCGTGCGGAGCAGGGTTGGAGTCCAGCATTTTTAATGGAACTCCTGAATCAGTGCCAGCCACGCTTCGAATAGTTGTTGAATTTGCCTGCCCATGACTAGTACTGAGCATCAGATTCAAACTTGAAAGGTTATTGTTTCTCATTATTGTACAAGGGAGCAGCTGTGTGACTTTTGAAGACAGCTTAGAGAGGGTAACTTCGAAGTTCTGCAGCCTGTGTTGGATATTTTGCTTGAGTTCTTAGCAGTATGGGGCTTTTTTGATCTATTTTGCAACCTTAGAAACTTGATGGGAAATGACAGTGCAAGACACAACCCATCATGAAGGTGCGATGGGTCATGTTTGTTTGTTGTGCTTGGCCTGAAATTTGAAAAAACATGAGAGCAAGCTTATGTGCCTGTGAACACAACTATTTTGATCAGAAGAATGATTATTTTTTTTATTTTTTTAAGGAGAAAAAGGAAAAAAACAGAAAAAGGGTACAAGTTATACAGAATTTCAGAAAGAATAAACAGTAGGGAATCACTAGTTAATAGATTACATATTGTTATCTTAGAAATAGTAGTTCAAGTTACAAAATTAAAGCATCTAAAGTGGACTTTCAAACAGTGAGACTGCAGTTTTGCTCAATGATTCAACAAAACTCAGTAATATGGTTATCTATCTTATACACTTAAATATATATGCAGTTATATCTTTTAGAGCCTTTGTTTTCCTCTCTTTTTGTACAATGACAATTACACATTTTGGGTTTTATTACTCCCACAGTTCTTATTCCTTTTTTTTTTGAAGAAGTAAAACCAAATGTGACATTACAAAACAGAGTCAGTCAAATCAAAAGGATGGACATAATAGATAATGTAAAAACAAAATATGAGTTGATCAACAATGGTTACCATATTGCCTCTTGCTATCTTAAAAAGAATTGCCTATATCATCAGTTATAATAAAATTGAACAAAACAGTAAAGAATAAAACCAAAACATTGGAGACATTACAGGACTTTAAAAGAAGATAATAGCCAACCAGAATGGGCGTCGTAATGAATCTTATTGTCTTCACAGTTGTTGCCTATACTTTCGAACTTGGTACTATCAAGCAAAGCAGAATAGGGGAAAATCAGTCAAAACAAGATGGTGAGGGCAATACAGGATTTCAAATCAAGTTAATAGGAAATCAAAGTGGGTTACTATAATGTATCCCGCTATTTTTATTTGTTTTTCCCTTAATTAAAAGGATAAAAATAAAAAAGTAAATAATTAAAAAAAGGAGACTGAGATAAAAGAGGGCATAACAACAAAACAGCACAGGTCAAAGCATAACCATTTAAGCAAAATAGTGTTTCACCACAAGACATCCCGACATAAAAGTAGTTACCGTAATGTCTCTTTCCTTGAAATCTTTGAGTATAACTTCATATACTGTGGCACCAAACATGTCAAGACAATGTAAAACCATTCAAGAGAATGACAGTATTACAGGGTATTTAGAACCAACTATCAGAAAATGAACAATGGTTTTTGTATAATCTCCTTGTCTATACAAGTTTTTGCTTATATTATCGCATATAATAAAATCCAATAAGATACAACCTGTTAAGACTGATGGAGACAGAAGAATAAAAGCTTGATGGGACTTAAAAACAAGATGATATTAAATCAGCATTAGCTATTATGATGTCTTGTTTTCTCCAAAATAGCTGTTCCTACCATCCAATCTTCTCTGCCTCATTTCTGTTGAGATATTTTTCTGTCATTTGTTGTCAGTTTGTCTTCTTCATTTTGCTTTCTGCTCCATTCATTGTGGCCTCTCTGCCACTGTTTCTGGAATCTTGGTATTTTCCTTTTTTAGAATATCCTGCAGTATTCTCTGTAGAATTGAATTGGTGGTTGCAAATTCCCCTAGTTCCTCTTTATCCTGGAAGCACCTTATTTTTCCATCAATTTCTAGGGACAGTTGTGCAGGATATATCAATCTTGGCTGGAGGTTATTATCTTTCAAAGCTTGAATTATTTCCCCCCATGCTCTTTGTGATTTGATGGTTTGTGCCAAGAAGTCTGCTATAATTCTGATGGGTGTTCCCTTGTAAATGATCTGTTTCTTGTCTCTGACAACTTTTAATATTCTGTTCCTATATTGGATTTCTGGAATTTTGATTATTATATGCCTGGGTGTAGCTCTGTTTGCGTTCCAAGTGGCTGGGGTCCTGTATGCCTCATACATCTGAGTATCTTTACCTTTTGCTAAATTAGGGAAATTCTCCTGGATTATTTCTGTGAATAGCTTTTGTAGTCCATTTGTTTGTGTCCCTACTTCTTCTTTTATGTTCTTAATTCTTAAGTTATA